GAGAGGTGGTGTAGACTAGCTTTACTTCTATATGCTGATGAAAACAGCTGTGATATCTACAGATCTTGTAAAAATACTATGTAATTCCACATTATAGGCTGTTAGGCAGCTGTATTTAGAAGATTACAATGTAATGAAATACCAAAGGCTTTGCTTTAAATTTGAAAGAGTAGACAAGAAAAATATCCAATGTCCAGGTTTGCCTTTTATTGTTAAAAGTATTAAGTGTAACATTTCACCAGATACAAGAAAATCAGTTTTTCCTGGCATAACATCAGTGTCAACTCAAGAATTCTCATTATATATATAGTCAATCTGATATTACACTCTATAAATGTAAAGTCTATTAGTACATGCTTAAAAACATGATCAAAATACATCAACACAAAAAAGTACCTTGACATTTTCAGATCTTAAGACATTTAATCCAGGGGTGAGTACAGTAAATTTCCAACAAATGGCTATATACTCAATTACAAGGTCAGAGCATAATTACTCAAAAAAACCAATGTCAGTCTCTCATGCCTTACTCATTCACATTCAATTTGGTGAGGCTTCAAACTCTGAAAGCATGCTCCACATTTTGAAAAATAAGACATCTAACAGATGTGAAAAATTTTGTCCAGTCTTCACAGTAACATATGGGCTGCTTGCCACACCTTGACTCTACTGCCTCCATGTTCTTAACAATTACAAAACTAAGTTTAATCCGTTTTGGTTTCAGAAATGTAGCACTTCTAGATAACAAAGTACGAATTTACCAGTGATTAATACACAGACATGGATATTTATTTTAAAAACATTTGAAAAGTAAATCCTTTCAGTAATACAGCTATAAGACAAGTTAAACGTAATACAATAAACCATGCATGACTAGTCAAAACAGCTAAACTATTTAGTTGACTAACATAAAGCAACATTTTTTAATATTTCACTAAATTAAACCTCTCTGGTACAAGGAAAAAACACATCAAATTTGTTCCTCAACCGGTTCAAGGCTGTCCAAATGTTTTTTATTTGCCTCTTCACTATGACGGCTTTGGCAATGGGTTAAATGTTTCTTAAAACCTCGGGGAAAACTCGATTCAAAATTACAACGTGGACATTTAAGCAAACTCTGACCATGAGCAGCAACGTGGTTTTTAAGAAGAGACTCCAAAAGAAAAGCTTTCCCACATATTTTACATTTATATGGACTCTGCACATTATGCTTGTTCACTAAATGATGCAAGACAGCACCTTTTTTCATTGCACGACAGCAACAAATTTTGCAATAATACTTTCCCTTTCCACGCTTCATATATTTTGCTATTTCTTCCTCTGAAATGAAAGCTTCCTTCT